CTTTCACCAGTCAAATTCGCTACGTTTTGATCTGATAAATGTCCACGATATATGGAATGACACGTGGGCACAAACGTGTGTGCCTATCCCAGGTAGCCATGCCCGAAGGACTTGGTGCGTAGCATTTTTTTAAGTGTTGGAACAACCGTTGAAATGACATCATTGCAAACAGTTTCTTTCGACTCGTGGACTGGTTTGAGTTGCCTGCTGCTATTCGTCACACATTACATTACATCTGCTCGTCATTTGACTGCTCCCGGACGAATAAAGCCGCAAGTTTGGTGCGGGGCAGAGGAATCGATTCTAAATGGATCGAAACTTTCAAAAAGACTCGAAGCCGTCATTTTAGACTTTCAGTGGGCCAGTTCAAGAACAACGCCAAGCATAGAACCAGTTAGCTTTCAGTTAAGGATCTTTGACATGCCAACAAATATGGAGCCCATCACCAGTGCGTCTGTTGATCCGTACTAGGTCTAAGCGATCATGAACTGGAGGTAAGCGTCTAGTGACAATTTGTTGAAACAGCTGCTCGCGCTGACCTCACAGATGAGTAGTGTAAATGTGTTACTCTGGTAGCCTTGGATGTCGATGCGGAATTAGTGGATGGAGTAAAGGTTACTTATTAATCAAGTGAAGTGAGCAAGACCGAAAAGAGGCATCAGTGATATTAATATGCTTTAGTTAACCGCAGGAAGAACCTCAAATTCTGCAGTAAACCAGAATGGACATCGATTTCCTCAACACATGCACTGTAATGCTTGAGCTTTCTAAAACTCTGCCACAACTTAACTCTGAGTACAGAACGCTAAACACATCCTAACCTCTGCAAAGTTTTACACCTGATGCTCATCAACAAAACAGATTAGATGACGAAATTTCAAATTTCTTTGCAAGAAAGTCTCTCCGAATTCATTGGCCAAATTATGTAAACGCTAAAATGCTGATCAGTTTGCCAGAAAATCTGTCAGTCAGGTTACCCATAAAATCTGCTTCGATACTCGTCATTGCTGGTACAAACCTTTGTAAACCTTTGTGTATACTTTTCATCTGTGTCAGAAAGCTTCAAGAAAATTCAACTCCAGAATTACTCGGATTTTATTGGCCTATCGGTACAACATTAAACTAAAATAATGACTTTATAGTTAAGAACAGTTTGTGACAAATTGCCAGATGAAAGCATCATTATTTTTTCGCCCCAAGGCGTTAGCCCAGTAATAGTTAAGAAAGTATTTTTTTAATTCTAAGCTGATATACCTGGTTAGGTGACTAAATATTCAGAACTGTGTTGTTTTAGTTCAGTTGAGCCAAATAGGCTTTTTTCGTTTTTCGGCATTCGAATTCGCTATGATCATGAAATGTTTCCCCAACCGAGAAGAGCCGATTAGAGTATGATCATTGTCGTGTCTACCACCAGTAGTACATGCCATCACGTAACTGTGGTAGATTTCCTGTAGGCTGAGACAGGTCACCAAGACCTGGATAGGAGATGAATAGGGTCCTTGTCCAACACCTTTGATCCGAAAGCAAAACCAATGGTTTTGGCTACTCGAGTTGTCTTGGTCGAATTCACCACGTAAAAAGTCAGGGGACTGTGACTATCAGAACCTCTTTGACAAACTTTGTGGACACTGAACAATCGTCAGTGGGTTGGGATCAGGCCCAGTGTGTGTGGCCTACTGCACGGCTGTGTTGAAACGTCAAATTTTACTTACACGTCACAAAGGTCATACGGGAACGCAGTTTTTGATTTACCGTAGTTCGTGCACTGTATTTATTTTCATTAAACTACCTTCCTGTCGCAGATATATCCAGGTGTGGCATTGACCAATCACAACCTGTTTAAAAATCATCACATGTAGTATCTCGCATCTGATGAAAGACTGTTCAGCTCGCTAGCCCTGCGTCGAAATGAAATGATTCCAGCAGCTATGATGTCCTGCACAGGGGATGAGAAATCTAAGAGAAGATAAGCCGGTCCTGCACAGGGGATGAGAAATCTAAGAGGAGAGACCCAAACTTTGGAGGTGATAGCCTATTCAGTTCGTTTATCCTGAATGGTGGAATTTTAGAGTACCCGGCAGAGGCGATAGCTCTGACAAAAGAACACCGTTGGCTTCTTGATACAGGCATATCTGTCATGCTCACCAACCACGGGTTTGACTTGCCTTGTAGAGAGTTGGCATTTACCAGATCATCTGATTTAATTGGTCAGTGTTTCCCTGATACGCAGTCAGGGGACAGACTGACAGCCAGTGAGTGACATCTATCCAGGCTGAGGTAAGAGGACTGTACGAGACAAACCGTCCCCTGATATGTAAAGTGACATGTGAAGTGTGAACATTTGATTTATGAGGGGAGAATAAACGTTCTTGAGGGCTTTGTGGCCTACTTCAGCGTTATTGACCACGTATTACAACAAGACTCTTGCAATGCTACGGAGGCACCGATTGTCAGAGTTAGGTAGCCTTCGGAAGTCATCAGCGGCCATTTCTTTGACCCATAAGGTGATACAGATCGGATCGTTGCATTGTGCAGTTATCCTAGCCTTGGTGATCGGAACTCATCCAGTGGTCCACATAAACGGAATTACCAACTACACCGATAGTTTGACCTGGGTCTGATTCCACCCCATTTCGCAGTAGCTTTTCGCGATTTACAGGTTAGAATCGCATACCGAACAATGTGACAGATTCATTTAGGTTGAATTAAACACTTTTTGATCCGAATGGGAAAAATCGGGAACGTACTGACTGTACGCAAGCGCACGCCCACATAGTATTCTTATTCTCAAGGGTTTTGTGGCCGGTAAAGAAGAGTCAAGCAGAATTTTGGCTGTAGCATAAGATACTAAAGTATTCCTAACAGTTAGTGGCCTTGGCTGACGGAAAAAAACATCCTGCTATTAACAGACAAGGGATATCACCCCCATTTTCATCATCATCATCATCATAAGTGTCGGCACTGATGCTTCACTGTCGTGCAGATGAGGGATAAAATGACTTTGAATGATGAAAGCAAGCATGATCAAAAGACAATTGGACCAATGATGCGAATAAACATTACTGGCCATCTGAGAAAATACGCAACCGACGGTTTGAAAAATGATAAACAAAAATTAATCGAAGGATTAATGCTGAGCTTCCCTCGAGGACGTCGGCTACAGGGTAACACCTGCGGCTCCATTGAGAGGTTGACAGCTTATGTGATATTAACCATAAGCATTTTCGTGTTCCACTCATGCTGTCGCGAATTTTGCATAGATTGACCTGTTGTCCCGTTTCATGTCACTTAAACCGCTTCGTGTGTTAAAGCCGCTCTCTGATATAAATTACTACAACGAGCCTTGAACATGATCCAACCTACTGGGTTCCTATCACGTTCAAATCAAAACCACACATGGACCTCGGTCACAACTTCTAATCAGTATAATATATCGTCGTGCAGGGTTTT